TCCCCCCCCCCACACACACACACACACACACACACACACACACACACACACACACACGGGGCATATGCCCTATAGCAAAACTTAAAAAAAAAGAGGGGGGGGCATTATTTAGGTACTTCCTAGAATTGATCCATCTACAAGCAAATTAAGGGAACTGAAATAATTTGAAATAACTTTCTTTAAGTCTACAAGACTCATCTTGCTGTCCTTTTTCAGCCAAACTAGAGCTAAGCTGAAATCACTACAAAAAAGCCCCAACACTGGGTAGAGCCTGAGAATACAGCAAGGATGAGGACAGCCACGCAATAGGTTACATCACTTCCGGCAGTACAGATTAGTACAGATCCTAGATCCTCCTGGAATCTAGATTGATTACCCTAGCCCAGAGGACACCTCAATAATCACCTGAGAAACAAATATCCATTTGATTATAATCACTGTCCCACTCGCCAGGAACTTCAATTCCATACAACCAATCTGGGATAGCTGACTCCTCTTATCATATCACCACCCACTCTGCCACTCCCACCCAAATGCAGGAGAATTAGATTTTAAGAAAGATAGAGAAATCCTTTTTAATTTGAAGGCTGCTATAAATTAAATATCACCTAGAAACTTAATGACCCTAAAGTATTAAGATAATCAGTCAAGAGAATCAAATAGGAGGTTAACTGTTCAAAACCAATCCCATTAAGATAAAAGAGCAATTATTTCATCTGGTAGTAAACATAGTTGCTTTTGGATTGTGTAAGGATCACTGCCAGCTCCTTTATACATAGAAAGTTAACAGGACAACGACTTACTTAGAACTCTCCTCTGAAAGAACAAAATAAATAATACAATATTATGAGGCCTACCTGATTTTAGTTGGAAAACTATCAATACATATTACTGCTCAGATTAAAATACTGCTTTGCACTCTGGATTCTAAATATGCCCTCAACTTTACAGTACCTCGAAAGTGGAAATTTGGAGTTGTAAATATACTTTAAGAAAACAGACCACCAACATAAAATATTTCTTCAAAAAAAAAAAGAATCTAAGTTTTGATATTGATTTGAAATACTTACAGATCTTACTAGCCAAAATACAAAAAAACTTTGTCAAGCACCAGTAACTAACCACTAACACTAGTGATGACTAATAAAATGGGGGCCTGAGGCAGAAAGCAAGAATTCAAAGCAAACAATTAGAGTAAGATAAACAACTCATTAAAACCATCTAAACTAAAGCAACATTAACTTAAGAAATCTACCTGACTACATTTTTCAATCTTAAAATCTTTTTGAAAACCATAAAAGCCCAGTGAATGAAACCAATCACTAAGTGAAGCAAACACAAGAACTAAAAATTCTTCAATTTCAGAGTCTGTATTAGCCCACAATTATTAGATGCATTAATTTCCTACTTCTCAAAACCTCCTATACACTATTATATAATAACTACAAATACACAATTGAAAAAGTGCCCAGCCCATGTAGTATTTTAGCAATATTTTCTAAAACAGGTTTGAAGGTTTGAAAGAATAGAGCAAGCAGAGTAAATGATAACTGATCACCAAAAGGCTGCTTGTTTCCTGGAGGGCAGAATTGGGAGGGGAACTTGAAAATATATTCACAAGGCAAATAACATATTTAAACAAACTGATTCATTCCTTAATTATTTACAAGCATATGTTTTAAAATGTACTTTTAACCTTTGGACAACCAAAGTGATAGCAGATACCTTAAAGCATTGTTGCCTGCATGTTAACATTACAGTCTAAATCCTTAACAAAATGCACATTATACATTTTCACAATCAAACACTACAGATATGGAAAGGCTTATATTCTCTAAATAAAGATGACCTTTTTTTCCACTCGTTTAAAGTTTCGGTTTTGCTTTTTAATCTATAATAGAAAACATCCCTTGTGGGACATTGTAAAGGGCAGACCCTCCTGTCAAGCCAGAAGGCTCAAACACAAAGACACTGAGCTAACCAAGTGCTGTAATTCTTCCAAACTGAGCCTCTCCACACCCCCTCCACCCTTCCCCCCAACAGATATGTCTATTAAATCAGTGTCTGTTCTCCCCCTCGCACAACAAAGAGAACTTCTCACCGCATGAAATTGCCGCTGAATGGACACCAGAAAGCAGGATTTGCATAATTCCTTCCAACGAAACCCTGTCGGGAAGGAGGGGATGAGGGGCCCAAGCGAACGGGTAGAAATCTCCTAGGTTCTGCTGGGGAAGACCAGGTTCCCAAGAACATGCCCCGCGGGGGGGCCGAGGAGGCTGGAATTCTGGGCCTCCCCGAGGACTGGGCGTGGGGGACAGAGGACGACGAGAGGGCATTTCCCCACACATCAGCAGCACCGAAGCAAAGACGGGAAATAACAATGCTGGAGGACGGGAGTCAGACACAGGGACGGACGGGGCTGGGGGCGGCGGGCGGAGCGGAGACACCACACGGGCCACTTACTTTTTGGAGGGGGGTTAAATATATGAGTTAAGCCCTTATAGTCCCGCCGGCCGCCGCACAGAGGGAAACGGGACCTTGGGAGAGAAAAACAGACAAAACACACAGTGTGAGAGGCGCAGCTCGGCCGCCCGGCCCCTCCCGGGGCGCCCCCGACCACGCTCCCTCCGGCCCGCGGGGGAGATGCCGCCGGGGCGGCCCGAGCCGGGAGGCGGGGGGCGGG